AGAGCTAGATTCCTTTCTAGTCATCCTTCTATATTTAAAAGAGCAAGGGTGACATATTCAATCGAGATTCTTTTCGAGTTTAATGGTGGAGATGAAGACACATGGCAAAAAAACAGTTGAGGTTGAAACTTTTTTTTTTTTAGGGTAAACCAGTTTTTTTCAATGCATTTTTCCAGGAGAGCTTACTGCACACCATCAGGTTCGCTGCATGATTGCATTGGTCCTTACGCGCGGCTGCACACCATGAGGTTCGCTGCATGATTGCATTGGTCCTTACGTTATATACCTTGTGCTCATATGCCGTCAAAGAGACCTCTGACTTTCCACAGCACTTGTGGAATCGTGAACAGACCATCTGATCACAATAGTGTGCTGTCCAAAGGCTGCCAGGCGCTCAAGATTTCCACCCAGATCGACTTGAAAAGCATTCTACCATTCAGTCGGAGCACCTGTATAATACACTTGTAAGTCTGTGAAAGCAGTTTACTGGATCTCTGAAAGACAGTTCTTTCTTTTCCCTCTGAGTTGAGAATGCTCTTTTTTTGCAGTGTATCTATGTGTCTCAGAGCGTATTGGCAGGATTGGAGTAAAGGTTAAGCTCATCAACTCGGAATTTCCTTTGTTTAAAGGTAAGGTTTTCAATGCAATGCTTTTTCTTTTATTCTTCTTTTTTTTGCTAGAAGGTCTGTCCACCGATCTTTGTTTTTCAGGAGTGGATCTTTGATACCCTAGCAAATGGAGAGAAGCACGACTAAATTTCAGACATTTATCTTGCAACCAGACAACCAGTTATGTGCAGGGTTGCAGGTTGCAGGGTCCCCAATGGGCGTAAGTCATTTTCATTTCCATCTTGCTGCATCTTCTGTTGTTTCTCCAGCTCTACAAACATGGAGTTATAATCTGTGACAAATGCTATGCTGTTCATTGAAGCATGGGAGCTTCTGTATCAAAGGTAAATGTAAATAATCTCTCTTCCCAATTTTATGTCCCTTTTCAACAGTTTATGTCCATAAATTCCAACGACTGGACAGACAAAGGGGTTGAGCTTATGCTGTTTATTGGTGGCAATGCAGCTGCAAATGCTGCATACGAGGCCTTTGTTCCTAAATCTTGGCAAAAGACCCATGCCAGAATCATCCAATCAAGAGCAATTAGAATTTGTAAGGTTCAGGAGATGCAAAACTGTTTTCTATATTTATTTTTCAACCATCAATGTTTTCTCAGAAGCAAGTATGAAAGACAAAAATTCGTAAAGCCATGCATTTGGCTTCCTCTTGTCAAGAGTCGACATTCTTTCAAGGCAAGAAGATTCTTCTGTTCAATGCTTCAATTCTAGAGGTAACCTTACAGTGAGGGACTTCATGATTGGTGACCCTTATGTTGTTCTCACCCTATGAAACCAGGTATGTGTCGTTCCTATTAATACAGCTCAAGCAAGTTGAGGAAGATTTGCGAAGCACAAAGGCAAAACATAAAGACTTTCAGAAGCAAGTTGTAAGAATCTCATGAGAACTGAGTTTTACAACCATACACGTTTTATCAGCCTTTTACTAAACCGGCCATAGTCTATTGTTTAGCAAGATTGGCCAAAGTTAATGTTATAAGCCTCATTATAATAAGAATCAAGCAGTGTCTACCTACTACCTTCTAAATCTCCTCAAAATATGTGCATACTTGCACACATCTTGGATAGGAGAAATCCCAACACATTGCAATGCAGTCCTGGCATGCTGCAAATTTGGAGAGCCAAGTGCTGAATTTCCTACAAAATAAAGAGTAGGATCTTGAAAGGCTTCTTGAATGTTCTTTCCTTGCTGCTCTACGGTTATCTAGCATGTTAGGTGAAAGTCTGTAAGAATTCACCAGCAATCGTCCAGTCTTGAGCATGTTGCTACCAACTCTAAAGCCATGTACAGTTGACCAGCTTCTAGCTTTGTATGAGCACTAGGTCATGGTGCAGGGATTTATCTGGGGAATCAACTCCTTCGATAATGGGGTGTGAACTCGGCAATGTAAACTTGGCTTTTCATCATCTGAAACTAATTGAAAATCCAATCTTTTCAGGTGCTTGCATCCCGAGTTTGCATACAGATGAATGCTTCACAAACAAACGAAAGCCCATAGAATGATCTAATCATAGTTCACAATGCTGCTCAACCGTTATTTAAAGGTGAGAGAACTTGGACAGAGCATGACTTCATAACTTTTTGATAATGAGTGAGCTCTTGAGCTTTGCAGGTACATCACGGCTAAAGAACACAAGCAATCTGTGCTGCAGCACAACCCAACTTGCTGAATAATATCTTATTGCCCAATGTAACAAAGGAAAATGATTTAAGATATTTGTGACAAAGTAAAGTATTGCAAGATAAAAGTTGGTTAGGGTTATCTTTATAGTACATGGTTTCAGAACGAAATGACTTCCTCTTTGGAAAATGGTGAGAGCCAGGAAACACGCAGGTTGCGTTTACATCAACCTTTGAGAATCCCTTGGACAGAAGTTTCAGGCGAGATTTACAGCCCAGATGCCTATTATAAATTTGAAATGCTTTACAAACGTGTGTAAAATGATTTTATATTCTGGACACAGGTACATACATTGTGCTGGTTTTAAACTTGCGAATTCATTTGCGTTTCCAGAAACAATGGCATGGCGGGAGGTAAAGACGACTGGTGCGGAGCTGATGCTAAGAGCCAGGCACACAACAATCAGCCA